TTTATAGCATTCTGATTTATCTCGCAAATTAAGAGATGTAGGATTCCTGGAAAAGTGTTTCAAGCTGGCAGGGCAAGTTTCCTTATTCCACACATCTCAATTTACCTAGCAGTAAGTAGGAACCCAATTGTTAGTTGCTCGCTTTCCTGGGAATAATAATTTTTTAAATATTATAAATTATCAATCCATGACTGTTGTGGGACACTGCTGTGCACGATTGGCTGACGCATTTTGCCCACAAAATATACATTCAATTCACTTGACAGTATATTCTGTGAGGCGCTTTGAGACATCTTGAAGACGTGATAAGGCGCTAAATTAAATGCTAGTATTATATTATCTGAACAAGTGTTGGAGTGAGTTGGGCTGCAGGCTGGCGTCCTTTTGAGGGCTTCAGTTTATACTTGCAGATTACACTTGCAGCCACTCGATACCTGGAAGTGGATTGCAAACTGCTGCAGTTAGGTAGGAAAGTTTGGAGGACAGTTTCCTTACCCCAACAGTATTTTTGTTTGATTACATGAATTCTAGGTTGTGACCACAACAACAATTGCATTTATATAGTGCACTTCACACGGGTAGAGTCTCGGAGCACTTCGGATTAAAAGAGCTTCTCTCCACTAGGGTTGTTATGGAATGTTATGCTAGGAGTGGTGGTTAGAACAGCCTTTTGGGACATTTAAAAAAGAACTGGAGAATCAACCAGGAAGGTGTTAAGAAGGATAAGAGAGAAGTGGGTGAAGAGTAGGGAATCGGAATTAGGATGGTTGGCTTCTTGGAGGAGCAAATACTGACCCCAGACCTGGGTCATATGGCCCACTTTCTTATGGTTCTGTGGTATACAGAAACTTCAAAAGCCTCACCTTTGTGAAACCTCTTAATCAACAATACACAACTACTATTTAATATTTAAAGAGCTGCTCCGTTATGAGTAGTACTCAATGTTAAGTTCTGTATAGAACAATTGGAATCTGTTACAAGTGGGGGAGATAAAAGCAGTTTTAAAGTTTGGAATTAAAATTTCCCTCCAAAATATTTGCTGTATTTTATAAGTGCAGATTGGACTTATAGCTATTTCATAAGATTTGACCCATGCCCTAGCTGGACCTATCTGGTTGTTTGTATTTGCATCTGGTGGATGTGGGGTGAATATTTATTCACATTTCACTATTGCATTCTGCATTACAAATTATTAATAAATATCCTAAGTGGTGAGGAGGTGCTTGATCACCACTATTGCATTGTGTTGCCAGTTGAAGTGCACATTTCCTGTGCTGTAGACTGATAGCTTGTCCCGCTCTTACCCAGTAGGTAAGTATTGCGGTCATTCTGTGTCATCCTGGCTCAGCTGGAAGCACACTTGCCTTTGAGGCAGAAGGGTTGGGTTCTAGCCCCATATCAGGACTTGAACTCAACATATGATGACCCTCCAAAGCAATTTCTGATTTCTCAAAGCAAGTTGTCCGTCTCTCTGAAAATGTTGACCAAACAAAACCTAATTACTGTGAATGTTTAGCTGAAGGCAGTCTGTAATTCAGTGCATTTTGCAGTAAGATCACAGATAAATCGCTCAAGGCCCCTTGCAAATTAGTGTTTTTCTTGCTTGTGTTATGGAACTAGATTTTAAGATTGTTGTCCAGTGGAGAAGCTTGATGAGTTGGTTTCTGATCGCTGAAGCTTTGGAGGAGCAATGACATGGATCAGATTGTCTGGTTTTGAGCTGTGTGGTGTTGCTCAGTAGGGTGAGTATTACTTGTGGATCTGCCGTTTGTTCAGTAAACTATAGATTAGAGGTTATGTAACTGTATGGAGTTGTTATTTATTCAGTAGCGTAAGGGTTACAGGCTGTGTAACTGTTTGGAGCTGCTGTTTATTCAACAAGATAAGAATTACGTGCTATGCAGTTATACAGAGTCTGTTTAGCCAGCAGGTTATGACTATCCAGAGTTGCTGTTTATTCAGTGGAGTAAGGTGTCAGTCACTTTACGGATTAACATTGCTGGTTTTCTTTAAAATGTTGTATGTGAGCCAAATGGACTGAATGTGCGAAGTGTGTTGTAGCAGTGTCCGTTCAGATGTGAGCCTTTGATTTTAATCTAGGCCAGTTCAGCAGGACTTTGACTCCTCTCTGATGATGTCTAATGAGCCTGGACAATGTTAATCCAGCTTCCGGTTGCCCAAGGGGAGTGTTTTCCAAAATCCTATCCTAATTGACACTAATTTGGCCATTTTAAGGATTATGAACTATGGGGAGTGGAAGTTTCCCGCTGATGTTGTAGTACATCTACAGAGGAAGATTGTTGAGGTGATCCCTGAGCCTTTGATAGCCATTTTGAAGCCAAAACAAGACTTACCTGCAGTGTCCCGCAATACTTGTAAATAGAGTCTGTGTAACATGACTACGTTACTGATAATGAATGTTTTGTGTTCAGAGACTCCACCCTGTGTGAAGGGCGCTATATGAATGCAATTTGTTGCTGTTTGTTCTGAAACCTTTTGGTCTCAGAGGCTGGCTTGGGAAATCTCTGGGAAAGTACAAGGTGGGTTAGTTGTTCTAGTATCCTCTAAGTACATATTAGCATAAAACTTCCAGGCCCTGTTACACAACCTTATCAGCTGAGTGGAGAGTACATGTATTTTGATAACACTTTCAGTCTTGATATTCCCTCAGTAAAAATTTCAACTATTTTTATGAGTGTTTTAAACAGTTCAAACTGGATTGGTGCTCTCAAAATTCTCCGGCTCAGAGATCAGAAGTATGTTAGCAGTGATTGAGGTACAATGATCAGGGAGCTGCTTTGTATAATGAAGAATTTGCGTTAACCTGTAACTGAACATTCATTACCTTTCTTTCTTGTTGAGTGATAATTGACATTGGACAAGTTAATTTTCAATGGCCTACATCATCCTGATTTTGTAGCAGGGTGCAACTCTTGAGGATTATCAGATTGTAAAAGATTCACAGGAAAATGGGTTACTTGTCCCAAGTGAGTTGAATATTCACTTATGTGTGTTTTTGTGGTGGATGCTTTCAAAATAGTTCTTAAATGATGGTAAGTTCTAGAAAAGTCTCTTGTGGTTCATGGTTTTGATGTAGCTGGTGTACCTTGTGTTTTCCTCCCTGGCAGAATGTAATTGTTGCTGTACTATGGCAGAGAAGGGTGTACTATGTTGTCTAATTTTGGATCTGTGGGCTGGATAATTTCCAGTTATCACAGTTTCTCATTGCATCAGGAGACACTTGCAAGATATCCATTTGCATCCTGAAGGAGGCAATGTTTATAGTTTGTGTCGGCGTACAACAACAACAAAATGACATTTATAGAGCGCCTTTCATGTCGGGAGGACGTCCCAAAGTGCTGGACAGTCGGGGGTCGGGACCCGAGAATGGGGTAGGGGTGCGGTAGGTGGGTGAGGCAAGGCAGAGAGGTGAGGGCGACCAAAGACAAAATCGAAAAAAGGGCCTTGAGACCGGCCTTGAAGGAGGCAAAGGAGGAAATGAGGCGAAGGGATTGTGGGATGGAGTTCCAGAGTGCGGGGGCAGAGAGGCTGAAAGCCCGGCCACCGATGGTAGGGTAGGTCAGACTGGAGACATGGAGCAGACTGGTGCCTGCTGAATGGAGGGAGCGGGCAGGTTGGTAGGGAGTCAGCACTGTTGGCGCAGAACCTTTGCAGTCTCAGCTACATTTTTTAATCTCAAACCTATTTGCAGACCGAGTGTGTGTGTGGGTGTATAATTCACAGTTATTGGTTCCAAGGTTATCTACTTTTTTTTTAATCTGTTGTCATTTGTAAGCATTCTTCCTGGGTTTTAAGACAGTTATTTGAGGGACAGAGAGAAATATCACCCGCTTCACACTACCCTGACTCCGCACTGCATTTCACCAGGCCATGGAATACTGTTTTCTTTAGGGAGGGAGAAGGAAAGTTGGGAAGCTTCAAAACGTTTTGTGATCAAGTCAGAAGGTTCATCAGTGTTTAGTCCACTTTCACAAGCTCTGCCAGCCTACCTCATGCATCCAATCAACAGCAATGATCCTGCGTCTTCTGTCAGTTGTTACACACAGCTGAAGTAGACAAGGGTAGTTTTGGTTTTGATTTCCTTAGAACACTTTATCAGTATTCCAATTACGCTGGTGTGGGTGGACAATGTTTACTATCCTGGGAAATTGTGTGATGTGACATTCCGGTTACATAATTTTTCGGTGAAATTGTCCAGAGAAGCTGATGCTAAAGATTGCTTTTTTCCCCACAATTTGAATATGTTCTAGTTAGTGCCATTGATATGGGTGTGCACGGATGCGTGGGTGTAAGCGTGTGTGTTCACCTTTCAAATTGTGCGTACTGATGTGAGGTGTTGATCATCTCTAAAGCTGACTTCCTTTATAATGTATATACATAGTGGATCTTTTGCTTCTGATCACTGTCTAGTGACCTTGCTGGCGCATGCGTGCATTTGAATGGCAGGTGAGGACAGGATCAGGTTTGACTGTGATGCTTTCCATGGTTGAAAGGCCTGTTGGTGCTTACTATCAGGTTTGAGGGTTAAGAGCAGCAATTGCTAGAGATAGACTAATACCCAGCATGTTGGTGCATTCAGTTGAGGAAGATGAGGAATGAAAAATGTATTTTAGGCTACCATTTTCCTGTGTTCACATAGTTCTTGCCAAGTAGGTGAGTGAAAAGTGCCCCTTTTGAGCAAATAATAATCCTTGCATTCAATGTAGCACCGTCGTTAAGACTTCTCAAAGTGCTATACTGTAAATATTGTGTATTTACAAGGTGGTAAGTACCTGAGCATAGCCATGGAGGTTCTAGTTTTTTTTTAAATGTTTCATTCTGTGGACTCTTTCTACAGTGGCATATTGCAAATTGGGAGCTGTGTGTTTGAGGAAATGATGAGTCCAGTTTCTCTTATGTCAGAGCTTGTTCGGACTTGCTTACAACTGACTGAAATCTGTGAGACTTTGACTTAAAAACTTGTTTTTCCTTATTTTCAGGTGCCATTATGAAATGTCCTGTCTTTTGATGTCGTATAACATGAACTGCACTGACTGTAACGTGACCAGGTTGAGCAGCTCGGCCATGGGGAAGATGTTGGGACCCAGTGGGATTGGACCCAAAGATCGAATGGGGCAAATTGTATTGAGCCACACTGGGGTTGAAACCAACAAAGACTGCAAGTATAGCAAAGAGAGGACAGCTGATGGCAAGAGCAAAAAGGAATATTTTATTAGAAAGACATACCCATTGCGAAAACGTCTTCATACTCAGGAAAGTGACTTGTCCAGTCCAGTTACTAAAGAACTTGAAGGAGCATCTATCCGAGGTGTACCGGATGGGGCGAGCTCTATGCAGATAGTCGAGCAATGGGATTGTGTAAATAATAAAAGCCGACTTCGAGGGGAGACGCCAGAGGTGGAGAGGAACAAAGAGACTGGAAAGGAGAATGAGAAACTGCGTTCCACAAAATTGACAGTCTTGGATTTGTACAGTGGAGAGCCACGGCCACGAAGGCTGGCCAGTTTGAATGCAGAAGCAGTGAACAACCTGCTTCTGGAGCGGGAGGACTGTGCCCTGTCGAGCAGGCGTTGCCGCAGAGATCCCGGCAGAGTGGTGGCCAAATGCAGCTCGGAGCACACTCAGACTCGGGCCAAAGGCAGCACATGTTCCTCGGAGGTACATGTTGGGCTCCGGAAATCTACAGTCAAAGGAGGACTTCCTGCTAAAAGATGTACAAACCACTCTGAGAGCTCTTCAGAAGGAGATGTTTTTGTTGAGAGCTATCCTGCATTAGAGAGCAGATCTGCCCAGCTGCCGGTGAAAAAACGCATGGCTAGTCTGAACGCAGCTGCATTCTTGAAATTGACCCACACAAAGGATTATTCAACAAAACGACGTAGCCGGTCAGATAGCGATGGGAAACTGACCAAGGCATCAAACGGCGTGAGCCTTCACTGTGTGCACCCAGTGAGTAAACGTTGCACAAAAACAAAAAAGAGAGACCTAGGGAGAACAGCAACTGAACGTCACCAACGCAGGAGCTGCAGCACCTCTGAGGACAGCAAGGTCCCTGTGAGGAAAGGGGAACCTCTTGTCTTGGGGCAGAGTGCTGCTAGATTACCATCTAGAACAGACTCATCCTCCCCCTATACAGACAAGGCCGGTGGTTATCTCCATCGATTGTCAGTGATTATGGGAGGGCAAGCCACAGTTCAGCCTCCATATCAGACAACAAAGGAGACATCTCCTACACCAAGTGCAGAGTTTATGCAACAAATGACAACTCCATTTCCCCCTCACCCAACAATGACTGTCCTGGGTAATTTAGTGCCTGGTCTGGATCACTACCCGTTCTTGTCTCCTGAAATGTGCTTAACTTCTGCAGAAGATAATATCTACCGACACTATGATAAAAATGATTTGTCGCCAAATGGATGTAATCCTTCACAAAACTGTTGGGTATACCCGCCATCTTTTCCCTATTGTCCTCAGTTGAATGATGAAGGAAGCCTCCTTATCTCTCAGAGTGCTGTTCCCTCAGGTATCCCTTTCCCTCACGCTCCATGTGGAGACTCCCCATGTTATTTAGGAGACACGGCAACTGTGCAGTGCATGGGGATGCCAGGATACATGTGCAGAATGCTTAATCCGCCACTAAACAGGGATACTGCCTTAAGGACTTCACCCTCTGGAAGATCAAGCCGTCATCAAAAGATAGCGATCAAATCAGGTAAGGGAGCGATCCTTTTGTGGAGTCAGAAGAGTTTTTGCTTTGGTGATAGTTTTGTTGGATCGGAGTATGTCTGAGTGTCTTGCTGTGGCTGAGGGCACTTTTGGGTCAGATGAGTTCCAATGAAAGTGGTATAAATAATCTTAAAGGACCCAAGGGTAAAGTTTGATGATTGTTCCTTATGCAAGTATAGGGTAGGTATGTGTGTCCGAGCTGTAGGCAGGAAGTTGGTGGTAATGGTTTCATGCTGATCTGTGCTGCTCACCAGGGAGACTTGCATCTACCTAGTGAGGGCTCAGACCTGAATCTATCAGATAGCTTGGCTCATTGGTAACTTGAAGGGGCAGACTGATCACTGGGGGCAGGGAATTTTCCCACTCAGCTCCTGTTAATACTGCAAGCCAAAATCCAAATGGGTATGGCGGTCACACCTGGACAAGCATCAGAAAGCTTGCCAGACAGTGCTTTCAATAGCAAGCTCTGCATATTTAGCTGGTTAAACTTCTGCACCACCTAAGTGGAGACCCTGAGGTCAAATTGAATTCCCTGCACTCCATCAGAGCTTAACAAACTCAGCACAGTCCTGAGCAGTTGCTGGTTTACATGTCTTTGCACCACACCATATGGAACAAGCGCAACTTGATAAACTACCGAGTCATTCACAGAATGAACTGTTAACCCGAGTTCCTTTCTCCCTGTTCAAGTGAACTTTAAAGAGCCCATGGCACTGTTCTGGTGATTGGTCTAATATTCTTTCCTTATCAAAATTACCAAAAAAATTGCGTTAGTGAGATTTATTGATGCATGTTAGTTTCTGAATTTACCTCCATAAGTCAGTGTATTTCAAAATAGCTCATTGTGTTAATCGCTTTTAACATCATACAGCACTATATCAAATGGAAGTATTATTTAATTAATACTTTAAAGGTGGATATTGTGGAGTTAACTGTTGTAAAATATAGTCCCTGGGAGGAGAAGCAATGTTACTAGTTGTGGATTTACTGGGTGGAAATTGCACAGTAATTCTTGATGCATTGTCTGTGTATTGCTCTTGCCAATTAAATGTAGTTTGAGGAACTCTGCAGTGTACTTGTGTTCATGTGCAGCAGTATATGAGATCATCTTATGATAATAGCTGATTTTAGCCGGAGTAACCTCTTGCCAAGGACTGACCATTAAATACTGCAGTCTTAATAACTGACTTGAGGGAACTTGTGGTAAGAGTCTGATGATGGGGACAAAAGTGTAACCATTCAGAGATTAGGATTTCCACATTCATAACAACAAAATAATATACCAGGTCAAAAAAATCTGAGCAAACTTTGCTTGACATTTCTCATACCCATGGTGACTGAAGGCTAAGGCTTGCAGTATAGCATACCGCTGAGGTTGAAATGTTTGGGAGTGTGTCAGATAATACTGGATATCTGAAATGAGAACAATTATTGAGAATGTGCAGCTGGGAAATCAGCACCTGAAGAGAGTTAAAATTTGGGTGCCATCAGAACAAGAAGCCAGTGATGCCCAATTAATTTGCCTAATTTATCTTTCTCTTTCAACAGTAATTGTTCTGCTGCCAGTTTTTTTTTAACAGTGATTTGCTATCAGTGTTGAGAGAGGCACAATCTGTGAGTAGGCTCAGTGCTCATAATTGAGATCATTGAATACTTGGTATAAAGACCACCTGGGGAAAATATTTACCGTAGCCACTAGGATTGCTCCAACACCAATTCTTGGGGAAAAGACTCTAGATGAAATGTAACAATATCAAAGGAAAATCAAATCAAGGGTATTCTTTCCTTGCATATGTTCCCATTTACAAAAAAGTGAAAGAGGTTTTGGGAAGTTGTTGGAATAGGGTGCTTTTTGGATGAGGCCTTGCAGTTGTCGGACTGTCGTACCTGGTCGATCTAGCTTGAGTTAGATTGTGGGTTCAAACCCAGGTTATGACTTTGCATTCATATTGTCTGGGTTGATATGAGTGCAATGTCGGAGGTGATGTTTTTTGGCTGAAACGTTAAACTGAGGTCCAGAGCGCAATTGGCTGCAGTGTTTCGCCCACGAAGTACATTTTGCAATATATTCTGTATAGCCAAATATAATAGAAATTATTAATTAATTATTGGAAATGAATGAAAGGATAATGAAACTACCAAAGGGCAGTGGAAATCTAGAATTCTCTCCCCCAAAAGGCTATGAATGCTGGATCCATTCAAATTTTCAAGACTGAGGTGGATAGATATTTGTTAGGTAAAGGTTCAAGGGATTCGGGGTATCTGAAGTTGAGGGACAGATCAGCCATGAACTGTAGAATGGTGAACCAGGCTCGAGGGGTTGAAAGGCTTACTCCTGTTCCTATATTCCTATATATAATCATTTTGCAATGTTTCAACAGCAACAATAAAAAATTACGTTTGTATAGCACCTTTCACGTCGGGAGGATGTCTCAAGGTGCTGGACAGTCAGGATTTGGATCCGAGTAGGAGGTTGGGATCAGGGAAGGGTGGCCGAATACAAGGTGGAAGAGGAGGTTCTTGAGACGTGCTTTGAAGGAACAAGACAAAAGGACTGTGGGATGGAGTTTCAAAGAATAGGGGCAAACAAGCTGAAGGCCTGACCGCCGATGGTGGTGCAGGCTGGGCTTAGGACGTGGAACAGGCCGGAGCCTGCTGAGGGGTGGGAGTGGACAGGTTGATATGGGGTTAGCAGGTCACAGAGTTAGGAAGGAGCAAGGCTGTGGAAGGCCTTGAAGGCGAGGACGAGGATTTTCAACTCTTATCTTCCGGGGATGGGGAGCCAATGGAGCCAGGAGAGGGTGGGACGATAGGGTTACGGAGCCTGGTGCGGGAGAGGATACGAGCTGCAGAGTTCAGGATGATCTGCTGCTTGTGGGTGGGGGGGAAGAGTTGGTAAGGCCGACCAGCAGAGTTGACGTAGTATAGCGCCTTATCAACGATGTAAAATCAAATGCAAGGATTATTATATTTTTTAGCAATCTCATGCTGAGACACCATATGTCTCAGGTTGATACAGGAAATGTAATAGCTGGCATTTGGGAGTAAAATCGCCAAAGGTACTTTGTGAAGAAAGTGTAGAGGGAGTTTTATCTTGCTTTTAACTTGATACTATATCTTAACTGTATGCAATTGAGACGTGTGGAGGGATCTGTATCTGACCTATACTATACCTGATCTGCGAGGGCTGGATAGGACAGTATATTGGGAGTGCTTCATACAGTATTAACGCTGGTATTTCAACAACAACTTGCAGTTATATAGCGCCCTTCATGCGGGATATCATCCTGGAGCGCTTTACAGTGGTGGAGTCTCACGCCGAGCCGGAGGAGTGGGAGTTGACAGTAAGCACGATCAAAAAAGGATTTAGGTGGGATTTGAAGGTGGAGAGGGAGGGGGCAAGGCGGAGGGATGGAGAGAGAGAGAGTTCCAGAGTTTCGGGGAGTAGTGAAGGCACAGCTACCAATGGTGGAGAGGAGGAGTGACAAACAGGGGCCAGAGCTAATTTAAATTAAATTGTTGAGAACTCAATTTAACAAAACACTTTAAGAGAATGTTGATGTTTTCAGTCATCTTTCCCCTCCCCACCCACTTTGGCTCCTACCCCCCGCTCAGGTGCCCAGGCAGTACTGTTGAGTTCTATGGGATATTCTCCTTACATGAAAGGCACTATATAAATTTCTATTGTAATAGATGAGGTGTCAGGGGGTCAACCTGTTTATTATAGATCAAGTAAACGTGGCTTGTGGTTCTTAACCTCTTCTTTTTCTTTCTAGACCGGTATAAGTCCTTGGAGCCACTCAATGTAACTATCCCAGTTGCAGGTCACCCAGTCTCCCCAGCGAATCCACTCTCAGGTTGCCCAGTTCCTACAGCACCTCCTACTGCAGAACCAGTTCCTTACCTGCAAGGTCCTGGCTCGGACCCTCCAGCAACTTCACAGCCCCACATGTTGTCCATGCTGAAGCTTGCCAGGGAGTGTCCACAGCGTTCCAAACCTCCCAGCGGTTCCAAATCCAACCTCCGCAACTCAACCTGTGCACATACTCAGCGGAGCAAATCGGCCACTGAGCACTCTGAGAGAAAACATCAGAGAATTAGCAGGAGAAGAGCCACCAATGGCTGGCGTCCAGTGGGAGAACCCTATGAGAAACCTGTCTACGTCGTGGTAAGTAGATTGTGACCAGGGTTTTTCAGGGGGTATAATCCAGCCATTGGAAATTCTGTATGAAAGGGGGCAGCCTTGTACCTATTCAGAAATTATGTATATTCATCATCACTAATGATCAGTTGCAGTGTTTTATTTTTCTCCCCTCATTTTACAAAAAATTTGGATATGATTCCATAGGTAACTACCCGCTAGTACCTCTGGAAACATCTGTGAACCCAGACATTGAGCATCTAACTGGCTGTTCAAACACTGGGATCATCACAGCCAAGCCTAACCTTGTTCATCTGAGGCTCACATGTGTCACTTTCATCTGATTTCTGGATAGCAGGAATTTGTTGCTTGTTCACATTTCTCTTTAATGCTTCACTTTTCCCAACTCTTTCCCAGTGTGCTGATGTTAATTGTCACGATCTGGTTGCTTTAACTTCAACTGAGATGAGCTAACCTCAGCACAAAACCTGGGCCCCAAGTTAAGCTACACACAAGAGGAAAGTCCAAGGTTTGATCTCTGGTATGTGCTGTCAGATGCAAAGAGCACAACAATTGGTATCCAGTCATACTTGTGAAAAGTGTAAATGGCTGGCTCGGTGTGTGGCTCAGCTGTGATCCCCCAAATAGCCTGCCAGAAATTGGATGAAGATGACTAGTTGTGGGAGGTAGTACCAGAGGGTCGTTGGCAGCAAAGGAGCCATTAACTGGTGCGAGATATTTGTCTTCAGAAGCCTGGATAAGGGGACAAAATTTAGGAAAGGAAACTTGCTTTGTTTAATGAGATCTGCTTCAGCATTTGTGGCACAAAGCCCACTCCTACAAAATAATAATGATAATAATCCTTGCATTTGATATAGCGCCTTATCACGTCTTCGAGGCGTCTCAAAGCACTTCACGGTATATATTGTAAAGCGGTTTGACTGTATTTTGTGGGCTAAACACTGCAGCCAATTGCGCATAGCAGTGTCCCACAAACAGTCATGGATATAGAGTGACCAAATTATATTTTTAAGGGATTATTACCACTGGAAAAGTGATCGGCCAATCGTCTAACAACCGGGTTCCTGATTACTACTAGGTAAACAGAGACGTTTGGTGTAAGGAAACTTGCCTAATGTTTTGCCCTGCCTCGGAATCGAACCCATGCCCTCTCGCTTGTGAGGCGAGAGCTCGGAACTCTAAGCTACAGGACTCCACAAAAATCCTGACTTTTTATCAAACCTTCTGGTGGACTGAGATGTGATATCCATATCCAGTGTGTGTTATCAGCTGAGGCTGGACTTGCAACATTAATGCCTTCTAAGCAGTTTTAATTCTGTGCAAAACCATTGTTTTGTGGCTAACCATGCAGTGCAACTAACTAACGGTTTGTGGCCCGCTTGCTCCTTACCCAATCTATCTGCTTGCAGCCTGACCACATGAAGAGATGCACGTCGATACAAAGTGCACTGAAAGGAATATACACAGACTGAAAATCTTTGCAATTTAAAAAAAATAATTTTAAGGATTGGTGTCAGGCAGCTGTCATGTGTGTAATTCAATTCGCCGGAGTATAGTTTACTCATGTTTTTCATGTTCTCCAATCGGTTTGGAAAGTGAACAAATTGTGTGTTTAATTCCACCCTTAATCTCTATTAAATGACAGTTCAGTACAGGAATGTGAAATGACAGACTACCCAATGAAAGGCACACACAGGACCTACTGGGAGGTCTAGCTGGTTTGGTTAACATTTCAGTTTCAATAAACCACCTGCACCTTCAAGGAATCGATGCTCGAAAATGCAGTATAAATCAGTGTTTGTGTGCATAGATTCTTTCTATAATCACGTCCCAACATCGTATCAGGGGGTGGTTTAAGAATCAAATTTATTTTCCCCGGTTCACGATTTGCCACAGGAACCATCAAGTTCAGGACAAAGTGGATGTAAGGTAATATATTAAACCGATGATCACTCAGGATAGGGATAATACCGAAAATAACTTCTATTTCTGTAAATAATAGATTCAACAAAACATATTGCCTCTAAATTTGAATTCTCCTTATCTATTTAGTATAGCACCAAATGATAATTTAACAAAATCTACAATTCATTGCTGATTATTCCATTGATGCTTTTGGTTGAAAGGTAACCCAAATTAAATCTCTAGCTCTTTGTAATTATAAATTGAAATGTTAATACTAAATGGTATTACATGGTTTATTACCTGAAAGAGTTTCATTCTGGAGCTTGCATTTTTTGTAATTCTAATTCTACTGCTGCCTCTGCAGGCACTATGTTTAGGCTACAATCATATCAAGAAAATTTGCTGATTAATTCTGTACCCAGAATACGAGTACCCACTGGTTCTTTTCAAAATGGGCATTTGTGATATTAGTTAAGTGTTTCTAACTAGACAAATGTGGGGGAATTCACTATTCATAGCCTCCGCCTACAAATTCCTCACTTCAGCATTCTTGGCAATCCTGAACAATGAGGTCCTTTTTGCCTCTAGCTTTCCGAGAATCATTGCAACATCTGATGACGCAGCAGAACACCAGAATGTACAAATATTAGAGGAAGCACAGATTCATGCACTTTAGTTTTACTTTGACGTGAATGAATCGCCCTCTGATGGTTGAGTGGGTAAATGCAGTGTATTGTGGTATTCACAAGTAATTATTGTCAAGTGTAGTGACTATTTTTATTGATCATTGTGGCAATTATTTATATCATGGTGGTTTATTTAAAGAGTCATTGCCCAGAAGACGTGAAGAAATCCCCTTCTCTATTCAATTGTGTTATGAAATCTCTTTCATTTACCTGAACAGGCATTCTGTTTGAACTTTAACCAGCATGAGTGCCCTTTATGATTAAGAGAAAAGGAGGAAAGAGCTGGGACAAAAAAATTGCTACTGATATTATGTTTTTCCAAATTATTGGTTAAGGTGCAACAATGGTGTACTACGTTTAGTTTTGGGCACTTCATTTTAGGGTGGATGTTAAGACCTTGAAGTGGATGCAGAGGAGGTTTATGCGAATACCAGTTGATCGGTTAGTTATGTAGAGAGATTGGAGAATTGGGGCTGTTTTTATTGAAGAAGTAGATGGGGATGTGGAAGTTGGAGGCTTGAAGGGGAATAAAGCAGGGCATGGGATTGAAAGTACAGAGAGACAGTGCAAACTCAATGGCCTCCTCTACTGTAAATTTCTATGATTCTGTATTTTGGCAGTATTTTGTAATAAAGCTTCTGGCAGCATTGTATAATTATAGCTGAGTCCTCCATCTGCAACTAAGTTTTTCACTATATGTTTAACTCTAATCCATTTGGATGAATTGGTAAATGAATGTAAGCTAGGGAAAGGATCTATTTTCAAAGTCCTTTTCTGGCTGTTGAATCTAAATTGGTGCCAATTGGGTTTTCCTGTTTCTCTGAAAGTAGTAGCCTCTTAATCCTGCTTTAGAACAGCAAACTAATCCTTCGTACACCCTCCTGTGAAACTCAACTGTATTGTTTGGCAGTTTTGGTCTTGTCATGCGAGTTTCTCACTCTTCTGTCTGCGCAGTTTCAGGTACATCTAGCTTTCATTTGTGCAGTTTTATTAGACTATAGTATATATCCACTGTAAACTGTTGGGGAATGATATTGTAACTAATATTGTGGTTCAGATGTGCTTTTACGCTATTATGGATATCGTCAGAATCCTTTCTTCAAGAAATGAACATTTTGTGTGATTTTCACTTCACAGTAAACTTTGAATAATGAAACCTAATATCTGTTTTAAATGTGACAATGCCTTTATTTTAGTGAGATTGCAAAGTACGGTTGTTGAATGTTCATCCTATGTCATTTTAAATGTCACTAGGTCATCCTATGTAATCCTATTTCAGTAATCTGGTCACCTCACTAAGTAGGTTACTTTTGTCCAGTCACTTGAGTGACTGGATTAGTGAGGTTCTACTGTATTGCATTTCGGCTTCTATTTCTCTGAACAAACTACAACATGAAATTGGTTTAAAAATATTGATTGTGGAAGTAGAAGATATCACATTAACAAGCCTGAAGATTTGATATTGGAAAATCCCTTCTCTTTTGCTCTGCCCACCTATCAACACTTATGCACTTGTGGAATAGAAATCTTCCAAAGGAGAACTGCAAGTTAGGGCAAGAAAGAAAATTTGTAAGTGGAGATGGGCCTGAGAGATTGCACTGCACAGTAAAATTGATTTTGAGTTTCTGGGACCATGGAAGTGCATTAATTTTATTAAATGCCAAATTGATTATGTGGCTCCACAATCATAATTTGATTCAAACCTGAGTATTGAAGTGAGTTTAACTGTTACGAAAAGGCTTTCTTCCTCCATTGATATTTATATAATGATATTGTAACGGTACTAAGAGTTGATCTAAATTTCTCAAATATTTTGCCTCTGTAGGGTGAAGTGGAGCTTGTGATTCGGAAGTGCTACCCGGCTGTGGCAAGGGATGGAGAAGTGATCAAGGTTCGGGACACGGTGTTACTGAAATCAGGGCCCAGAAAGAAATCCATTCCTTATGTTGCCAAGATTTCTGCACTTTGGGAGGACCCAACAACAGGTAGGGTACCGTTCAGAACAAAGCCGACTACTCAAATAGTGCAGCATGAAATTTGATAATGGTGGGACAGAATCTCTCAACTGCAGTGGTTGGAGAGTTACGGAAGCCCTGTGAAATATCACCATGTGTGTCAGCCTGACTCAGTTGAGCAGCACTTTCGCCTCTGAGTCAGAGGCGGTGGCTTCAAGTCACGTTAGGACTTTAAACTTGTATAGTCTAGGCTGACACTCAAGTGCGAGCGGATGGGTGTTGCATTGTTGGAGGTGCTGTGTTTTGGATGAGATTTTAAACCGAGGTTCCCTCTGCATGTTCAAGTGGATATTATGATCAAAGAGATTTTCTCCCGGTCTGCTGACGACAAACAATGTACCAAATAAAATTGGTCATTCACTTCATGACTGTTTGCTTGATACTGTTTTGGACAAATTAGCTGCCACGTTCAGCTACATAATTTAACATTAGTGTATCCTGTAAAGTACTTTCCTGACTGAAAGTTGCTGTACCAAATCTAAGGATTATTATTATGATAGAGAATACTTTGTGATGGAGTACCACGAAGAGGAGACACTTCCCCCACTGTGATTGTGTCCAGTTTAAAGTATTCTAAGTTCAGGTAACAAATCCAGTCAGTAAGTTCAGCGTTCAGAACTCTTCAGCCATAGCAGAATTGACTTCTTGTGCCGAGCTCCAACAATCATTTTGGGTGGCCTTGTTCTGGGTGACTTCTCCTGGAGCTCTATGTGAACAATTTGACTGGTTTCTAAAAGCTCCTGTAGCTAAGGCGTTAGTCATAAATATTTCATGCCCCCAGCACTGGTGATGGTTTTAAGTGGTACTGTCTGCTGTTCAATTGGTAACGATTAAGCACTCATTATGATGGTTTACATAAATCACTTGGGCTTCTGTCAAGCGCTTAGGAAACTGCCGGGCCTAGACATGTAGTGTTCTAGATTCTTGCAATGATTTTATGTACTGTGGAATGCTTGGAGCTTACTTACTGAACCCACAGTGACTGTGATAACATCTATTTAATGATGGATCTGTAGGTTTGTCCAGTATAAAATGTAAAACTACAACCAATAATTATCTCAGTGCAGGGCAAGGCAGTGGTTCAGATGATGTAATACACTGAGAAAAGCTCAAGTTGGGAGTATTTACCTTCTGAGCCTTCACATTAATTACAGGTAAGTATAGCAGTTCATAGGATGTCTCAGTGAAGAGGTCCTGTTTTGCCAATCTTTGTTTCAGTGACTGAAAGCTCGGGGAGCAAAATTGAGCCATAACAATTGGATCTCAGTGATCCTCAGCTGAAAGGGAAATATTAACCAGGGTTCCTGCTGTTCTTTTGATCAGTCAAGTGTTATGACGCAGGCAGAAACCTATCAGTATGCTCAACGATATCCAAACCATACTTGGAGTTCCACATGTGTATTCTGCCTACACATGAAGATTTCGATGCTTGCCACTCTCTCCCAGGAGGACACATCCTGCTTACCTAATTCCAGAAAGTTTTAAGCACAGGTTGATAAAACCCAAGGCCGGGGTTCCCAGTCTGTGCATTGTAAAGCTAGAGTTTAACCAGCTAAAACCACATAGCTTGCCATTGAGAGCACAGCCTGGCAGGCTTCCCACTGATTCTCCTGCTAGGACACCATACCCGTGAGGGCTTTCTGTTATTGATCTTTATCCAGTGAGTCCTGATGAAAGTGTGCTTGAGTGAATATTGGGTATCGGATCATGTTTGGCTTTGGTCCCCCGACCACCCCACTTGCTCACCTTCACCACAAGCCCAACCAAACCTCGGACTCAGAATCAGCATTGTAGCCAAGCCTAAATGTCTCCTGCACACGCTTCTAGCAGACCTGGAGACTGACTTTTTCTTATACTCTGCAGAAATGCTGAAGCCACATGTGTATGTTGTCCTACCTAAGAATGCCACACAGAGCAGGCACTGAACCTTACTGGTCACAGCGATGCAGCACTGGAAAGCTAGTACTGAGTTGTAGGGGCACAGTAAAACTTTGCTTTTATTTCTTTGTTTACTAAAAATATGTTTTTAATTTAGTTTTGCCTTTTTCCTTTTTTGTTTCTTTGTGATTGTCAGCATTTTATAAACAGTCTGGCTCCCTGTTAACACACTCTTGTCATAACAATATACTGTTTCTGACTGATTGCTTTAAATTATAAATAAGCTGCTGGAAGCCTTTGTGGAGCCAGCGTAAGCCCTCGAGAGTAAGCAGGTGATTACTGCACATTAGCACCCAGGTACATGCATTAGACATGAAGGCACTAATTACTCTGCTCAGAACACGCTGCTCTGAGCATCAGGAGTAATGTGTGCCTTTCATGACGCACAGGAAATAAAGCTACATTAAAGACTTCAGCGTCGTTTGGCCCTGTTGGTAGCACTCTCACCTCTGGGTCAGAAGATTTCAAGCCCAAGTACCACACCAAGACTTCAGCTCTTAATCACGGCTGTCACTTGAGTAAAGTACTCAGAGAATATTTTTGTTGGAGGAGCTGTCTTTGAAATGAGACATTAAAATCAACTTGTACCACCAGTCCATTCTGGTGGTACAAGTTGATTTTGAACATGGACTTTATATAACAAAAGATGTCTCCCAGCATCCTGGCCAGTTGTCTTTCTCCCCCAAAAATTGGCCATTCATTTAGTGCTATTTTTTAGATGTTAATGGCTTAGATTAGCTGTTGTGTTTATCTGCATATACTTCAAAACTCCCATTTAGGCATTTGAGCGCTCTGATATGCTAGCCTATGTGAAGGGTGCTATATAAATGCAAGTTGTTGTTTAGTGTGTTAAGGTGTTTTCTCAAATGTAACTGTTGTTAGATTGGTTTGGATTGAAATGCTACCCTTGGTGCTGCAGGGTGTGGAGCAGGAATACTGACTAACCTGGTCACAGTGTGTCCCTGAGAATTATCAATTGAATCTTGGAAAATTGAGAGAAAATTGTTGAACTTAGATTTCATTAAGGGAAGAGGTTGCGGATTGGTAATGCTGTTTATTGTATCATATTCTGAGGTTACACCAAAACTTGTGATCAGTTTATGCTCCCTTTGAGAGCCCAGTAAAAAATGTTTCTCATATCCTTAGCGTTTATTTATTCTCGGTGTGAGCGCTTACCTCCCAGTTTTCAAAGGTATCAACCAGAGAACAGGCTTCACAGGTACTGGTTGCCCTCCAGTGTCACAATTGAATTGATATTCTAAATTTCTAAGTCTTAGACCACAAATGCTTCTCAACAGGCTCCACTGGCCATCTTCAGGTCACGCCTGAAGATCTTCCCCTTCAACCGCACCCACAGTCACTTACCGCCTCTCCCCGTCTCCGCCACTTTTGAGCGCTCTGGGACTGTCAAAGTTGGGTATGGCTGTGGTTCGTTTTTTGAATACAGGAATTGTTTGCCTGTTTGCAATCCATCAGATCCTCACCAGTGGTGATAGACTTCTTCAAAATAACAGCGTTCTTCACAAATCTGCTTTGACTTTTTTAAATACTTTAAAGATATAGGTGATGTGTTGTCCAGATAGATTGCTGATTTTGAACAACTTTTCCCTATCTAGAAACTGTCTTGTGAATAAAAAAAATTCTGATGATTGGTACAGTACAGCATATAGAACATACCAATCATCAGAATTTTTTTGGTACAGTATTGTATTGTTTTGGGCTTAAACTATGTTAACTCTTTGTGGGTGAATTTGCAAGCAAGGTGAACTCCCTTCATGCAGCTTTTAACCCTCATTGATTATGCCCTGAGATTTGATAGTCCTTGTGGCCGATTAAATAATCCAGCTGACTAGAATTTTTTTCAGGATGCATTTGATCCTTGCATGAATACAGTTGTATTACTGGAAGTATGTAAGAATGTATGGAACCCATTGCTCTGCATTCCAGAGTTGCTGGATGATGTGGTTACTTTGGCTGTCTAAGATGGATGTTTTTCTAGCATAAAGTGGCAGCATTATTAGACCTACAGTGCTGACCTATATCCTCTGTTAGTTTCCTGCTGGTATTGCTTTATTTCCCCTTTATTATAATGCAGGAGTTGGGATCCACAAAATTCTAATCAACATTAAAAAAGGAGCGATCACTACTTCTGCATTCACTGCACATGCACACAGACAAAATGACAGCCACTGGCGCATTAAGGGTATAGATTGCCGCCTATGTCATTCTGTGCATGAACAGCGTGGAGGAATCGACAGTGGCAACGTGATAACTTGAGGTCGGTCATGGCCCCATCATTACTCAGCTTCACGGCTCCCCATCCCCCAGCAGATCGAATTCAAGATTCTCAGCCTCACTCTCAAATGTCTTCATGTCTCTTCATCCTTCTGTAACTCTGCTGCCCTGACCCTTTTGACCCTTTTCTCCTTTCAGCTTAGTAATCCCATGCACAATTTATTTTCCTCTTTCTCTGTCCCTATTACCACCACCACCACAATAGACAGACATTGAGCCATTCTGCTTCTACACTCTGGAAAGTCATCTTGGAGTCCTCTCCACATCGCCCCTCTTCCCGCCTTCAAAACATGTCTTGAGATCTATTTCTTTGACTGCCCTTTCTACCACTTTCATCCTCATTTACTTCTCAGCCTTCACTGTGCACTTTGTAGCCTTTGCTCATTTAGTTTAGCCTTGGGAGCACAGTTACATCATGTTCTGCTGTCAGTCTCTTATTGCAGTGCAGCATTCACCTTGTAGCTGTATGAACCAACTATCTGCACAGTCACTGTAGGGTTTAAGCTATTCGGCTGTGCTGTCGGATTTGTTGTCTCTGCTTTTGCTCTGATTAACCCTCCTCCTGCTCCATGCAGTTAATGGATTAAGAATAGGATCATCTTTTTCCCTGGGTTTATCCTTCAATACAGGCCATGCAGCTTGATCAGAATAAGTCATTAGTGATTAGCAGCTGTATTGCTGAATTCATTAGAAATACAAATTTCAGCACAGTCTGAAGCCATATGGTCCGTCGTGCCTTTGTTGTGCTCATTCCCATATTGGATCTATCTGTTCTAATCCTATATTTCTATGATGCTCATTTCCCTTATTTCTTTACATCTTCATTCTTCAAGGGATTATCTAGTTTGCTGTTAAGTGACTCAATTGGCTGCTTGAGCAGCAACTTGTGGTAACTGTTCCACATCCAAACAACCCTTTGTGTAAAAGAACATTTTAAAACTCATTTATGCTTCTTGAGTTTCTTGCCCCATGTTACCAATTGACTAACCAGTCATAATAATCTTACACTAATTTATGCTTGCAATTACTTTCATAATTTTGATCACTTTTGTGAGCCTCTTAGCCTTTTCTGCTCCAGTGAATAGAGCTCCAGTTTAAGCTTTTTGTCAACGTAACTGTTCTCATCAAAGTGAATCAGCATTGCACTCTCCATGGTTCTGATTTCTATAGTATAATGAAATGCCCAAATCTCCAGCTGCAGCCTAAGCAATGTCCTGTGCAGATTTAACATCAACATCCTTGTTCTTGAATTCATTGACCCTGTATTTACAGTATATTCTGTGAAGCACTTTGGGGGAGCGTTTTTACTTGGCGGTTACACTGTATATGCTTCAATAGTTTCAATAGTTGAGGAAGGCGATTTTAGATTTGTGGAATCCTGTAGCTCAGTGGTTAGAGCACTCGCCTCGCAAGCGAGAGACCTGGGTTCAATTCCCGGCAGGGCGAAACCTTCGGCAAGTTTCCTTACTCCACATGCCTGATAATAATCCCTCCAGAAAAAAAACAAAAAAAATGGTCATTTCAATCCACGACTGTTTGTGGGACACTGCTGTGCTCAATTGGTTGCCGCATTTCTCCCATGAATATCACTTTACAGTATATTCTGTGAAGCGCTTTGAGACGTCTAGAAGACATGAAAAGCGCTATATCAAATGCAAGGATTATTATTATTATTGTACATGAATGCAAGCTCGCATAAAATGTTTGTTTTTTCTTCCTCCAGGGGAGCTTACAATGAGCCTTTACTGGTACTATAGGCCTGAACACATCCAGGGAGGCAGAAATCCCAGTCTTCACTGTGAGGTTAGCATCTAACAACATTTCCTATATAATTCCAAAATTCATTTCACCTCCTCCTATTCTCTTACCCCCTCACCCCATTGCCTTTCATTCTTGCCCTACGTCCATTCATTCTCCCCACCTCGCCCCTGTCCATTCTCTCCGCCTCGCCCCTTTACATCTGCGCCCCTCACCCCTTTCCTCCCTGCTACCACTGTTTGCTTTTCAATTTTCTCTGTGATGGGGAGTCTGGCATTGCCTCTCCAGGTAGTGAGAAAATGAGACAAGTGGAAACGAATGACCTGGATTATTTAAATTTTACAATTTCTCTAAATAAATGTGCCTTTGGCGCAGCATAAAATTTGGCGAATGGAAGTTCTTAACTGTTGTATTGTACAGCTTTGGAGGTTCTTTTCATCCTGAGCTGTCTGTGTGAAGGTTGTTTCAGACATTAGCGGATGGTTGGTTATGTATCTTTAATATCATAGTGATGTGCTCTGGGACGCTACCCTGCATGAGGGGTGCTATATAAATGCAAGTTTTGTTATGTAGTTCTGGATTTTACCACCAAGGGGCAAAGTTTTTGCTGCATGTTTCTCTTCTTCCCCCCTCCCCATTAAACATATGCTCATTGCAGTTTCTGTCCTCCCGCAGAATGAAATCTTTGCTTCACGGCATCAAGATGAGAACAGCGTGGCTTGCATTGAGGAGAAGTGCTATGTCCTGACCTTCTCAGAGTACTGCAGGTACATAAACTTCTTGTTGGTGGGGCAAAGGGACTGTGAACAGACGCATGGAGTTGGATACAAACTACTTCTGTCTTATTTGTAAATTAATTAATCACATGCTTTAACTGTAGCTTCTGCTCTCCAGACACTTGTGGATCAAAGTTCAGAAAAAAGGCTGTTGAGCAAAATTTCCAGTGTTTTACTTCTCCCTCTATCAAATCAGTCCAGTATATCTGCTCTTTCCAAATACCCCTTAATGTACTTAACACTGTTATTATACCTCCATACCATTCACTCTCATCTGCTCCAGGTCCAATTTAGCCAGCCTATCTTCATGTGTATATTGCCTGATTCCAGTTCTCTTTTTCCTCACTCCCCCTATAGATTTTGTGCCTTGATTAAACGGCGAGAGGAAGGTACATCAGATCACAGGTTGATCGTGCCAACCTCTGAAGCCTACTCTACTCCTTCTCACCGTAAGGTGCCAGAAAACACCGACCCAGATCTTGTCTTCATCTGCAGACATGTCTATGACTTCCGGTATGGCCGGATTCTCAAAAACCCGCAATAGCTACCGCACTTCCCGGATCAGAGGACTCTGGCTTCGAGAGAAACAAATGCATTTACAAATGGAACTGCTCAATTTGACTGGGAGGTATATTCCACACACGCTTCCTGATCAACCGACCGCAGACTTACTTTTGCCTTATGTACATAGATTAGAGGAATTTTAGACTGTACCTAAATCATGCCGACTGGATACCAAAGGATAGTGACTGATTCTGAAAACTGGGCTCCTAGGAAGCAGCGCTGGTTTTTTGCACTAACCAATTTGAAGCGTATCACCACACGAGTCACTTTCTCATCCGCCATTCTTCATCACCACTAACTCCCAGCCCAATCTCGCCCCAGCCAAGCCATCGCAAATCCCTTTTAGAAATTTTAAAAGTTTAAAAAAATTTTTTTTTTTTAAAAATGTGCACTTATTCCTAATAGATTTATCTCTTGAATGAACTTTGACCCAATTTCCATGTTGGCAGATGTTGAAGGCCGACACTTAAATGTTTACGTCTGAATTGGGATAACATTCCAAATTCTCTCCTTTTTTTGAAAGAATTAATTACTTGTTGGAATTCAAATTTCAAAAAAAATTTATTGAGTTATGCGGGAAAAAAAATTAATATATGATTTAAGTTTGATAGCTATGTTGAAGAGCTTGTTTTTTTAAAATGTTCATTTCCTGATGGTGTCCTTTTTGTTTTCACTTGAAAAGTTTCATGTTCCAAGTGTTAGGCCAAGAGGCCAGTTAGAATTAAAGTTGTTTCTCGGGTAAAAAGCTTGTTTTTGCCGCTGTTCTTAAATAGGCAAAGATAAAGTGTCCATCTCTTGTTACAAGTACATCCATCTTCACACCCCTGTTCTTTTCCAAACCCTGATATCACCACCACTGTTGACTTCCAGTTCAGTCCTAACACTACTGTTTTTTTAAAAAAAGATTTATTGATGAAAGGGGAACTCAACATGCAAAGCCCTGAAAATCCAGCACAAGCTCGTTACATCTGCTTCTCTCTGAGTGATAAGAATGTGTTGTATTACAAGAGAATATGTTGATGGGAGTGGTGAACACATAATGGGGCTTAGTTTTACATTGGTGGGGAAGCTGCTCCTTCGAATGGTTTAGACACAGGGTGATCCAACTAACGGCCCACATTTCACCCGCCCATCCGTCCCTCCATAACCTGTAGATGTTATGCTATGTTTCTGGAAGAGAAACACCCAAATATTGCTTATGGGGCCCACGGATGTTTCTTGATTAGGGCATCTGGCCCCAAGCAGCCAAAAGGTTGTTTCACCCTGGTTTAGAGAATGGAAAGGAGCTTGTGCTGGGTGTATTTCACCCATCAGAATAGCAATTAGACATAAATACATTTATGGAACGAAGTTCAGCTTGTTACACAAGGATATCAATCTTTGCTGACAACTTGATGGTGGTACAGGATATTCAGGATGTTGTAAGAAGCCATATTATTCATTAGCGAGAGAGAGAAGCAAGTTCTCATTTACTAAACGTTTTAAAAACATTTCTCCTGTACCTTGCTCACTTATTGATCCTTCAGTCAGCTTGGGTGTGGGGAACACATGAATTACTATTTGTGCTTTTGTATCACCACTACCAGAGGGTACTGTACTGGACACTATCCAGGCACAAAACTAACAATTAGCTAAGGCCATTTTTTATAGCAACCCACCTCCTGGTGAATCATCGGGGCCACGTGTTCCATTGCAAAACCATAACCATCACCAAATGGTCAGACTGGTTTACTGCCTTCTTCCACCTCCACCACATTGCCCGCCTCCAACCAAATGCAACCGAAACCCTCGTGCTTGCGTTTGTCACCTCCCTCTTGGATTACTCCCAATGCACTCTTCGCCGGTCACCCCAGCTCCACCATTCACAAGATCCAGCTCATTCAAAACACTGCCGCCCGCATACTGATCCGGCCAAACTCCACCAAATTCCGTACCCACATCTCACCTGTTCTGGCACCACTGGCTCCCCATCAACGAACAGATTAACTTCAAGATCCTCAAACTCGTGTTCAAATCCCTTCACTCTCTGGCACCTCTTCGCTACCCAATCCACCACCTGGTGCCTCCGCTTGATTGGCACCGGCCTCCTGCTTGTCTCGCACACCCTCTGCCCCACCATCGGATGTCGTGCTTTCAGCCACTACGCCCCAAACTCTGGAACACACTCCCTCAATCCCTCTGCCTTGCCCCGTCCTCTCTTTCAAGTCTCGCCTGAAAACTTTCCTCTTTGACCCTGCTTATGGCCACCTCCCCTCAGCTTGGAGTCAGGCTCTGCCACTGTTAAGCTCTCTGAGACACTACCCTGCATGGAGAGTGCTATGTAAGTGCAAGTTGTGATTGGAGAAGCTCTTACTTTGATTGCTCTTACTTTGCTCAGTTGAGTCCCCATGATCATAAATGACATGCAGTGCATGTTTCAACCTAATGGAACTGAGCCTAAAGCACTGGGCACAAAGTATATTTCAGGCAGTACTTCCTTAAAACTGCAGGAAGTGTGAGGCTTGAGAAATTTGCCCTTTAACACATCAGAGTCAAGACACAAACAGGTGGTTTTGTTTCTCTACTGAGCTGCTCAGGTCAAGGGCAACTCCAGTTTGTGACGAGCAGATTAATGGAGAAGTTTGACACTAAGATTGGGTTTTAAAAGCCTGCAAAATACAGCAACAAATTAAATTTGTATAGCGCCTATCATGTCAGGAGGACATCCCAAGGTTCTGGACAGTCAAGGATTTGGACCCAAGCAGGGGTTTGGGATCAGGAGGGGGTGGAGGATAGAGGTAGGAGGGTGGCCAAAGGCTTGGTCGAAGAGGAGGATCTTAAGACGTGCCTTGAAGGAGGTTATTTCCTTTTTCCTTGTACCTTACAGGTTTCATCAATGGGAATCTGCCGTTCTCAAATACACCACAATTTTGTGGCTCGAAATGTAATTCAACTTATCTTAATATATTATTAAGACACAGGTTCCCTCCACTACAGCACTTGGGAACACTGTTCTGGAGAGTATTTTGGTTTCTAGTTCCCATTAAGAGTTTCTTGAACGTGTTCTTTAAGGAACCAAACTAGATATCACAGCATTTTAGGATTCAATTTATCTTTACCCTATAGAATGCTTCTAATAAAATCTCCCCTCACCTTTCTCCTGAGTGTGAACGTAAATGCACACCATTTTCAAACTAACTTATTTTGTGGGTGTGTTTGCGAAGGGACATAGAAGGGTTCAGGAACTATTGCCCACTTCAATAAAGACTGTTTTAAAAATCGGCTATTCATAAAAAATGTAAAATTCTGCCAATGACTGAAACTACACTGTTCAAGTGACACAATGAGTATGAAGCCACTGGTGTCAAAGGCGAGAGAAAAACGTATGGATCATGTTGCCTCCTGGAACAGAAGCTTGCCCTCCCATTTGGCTGGTTGGTTCAGTTTTTTTTAATATGGATCAATATTGTTGGTGAGAAATGTTTAATACGCACCTTTCCATCTAATTGAGAAATTGCTAATGTTGCAGCATTTTATCGCTTGGAAAGCACATCACACCAGTTAAATTTAGTGGCTTGAAATATGATAGCTGATCTGCACCTGCAAATGTTCCACAAATGGTGATGACCAGTTTGTTTAGGCAAGGTTGGATGAGGGAGTTCAGCGGGAGAAAGTTGGGCTGTTGAGCTTTTTAAATAAAAGAAGAAAGCAAACTGCCCAAGTGCCTCTTTGCTACCTGTTGACACTTTAGTCCCTATTGGGGTGGGTGTGTGGACCTTTGGTGAGGACACCATTGCGATGCTTCTGATGGTGTTATGTACTCACTACACTCGCACATGAAGAGTGGCCACTTGGATGAATTGCCAGAGAGCTGCCAACATTTGTGAGTGTAACCCAGCATGAATCTGTCCGCTCTGGGGAAAGATGGGGATCAATTTTTTATAGAATATATTGCTCAGACACTGGGTTACAAAACACTAACCTGCATTCTGTTAAAACAGTGTCCTGTAAACCATACATAATTGCTTACATTTCCCAAGAGATCTGTTCAGTTTCAACTCACAGGCTCTGCTGGGGCTACCACTCACTGAACCTGTGTGCTATTGGTATTTTGTATGCTGCAGACATCCCCGATTACAGACTCAAATCTGTTCACTGTGCTTCCACACTGTCTAAGCAGACTTGCTAGTTGGCACAGAAGCTGAACCATCTGACCCTCCTTAAGTTACGTTCGAGGAGGCAAATTCCATTTCGTCTTGAGAGGAAAGAGTGTAAAAAGTCGATGAAGGAAATTGCAAAAATGGAGGCAGTTGGGTGACTTGAGAGCTGGTCATTGACTGGTTGTGTTTTAGACATTGCTGCCTACCAGTAGGTTTGTTTTCTGGGAGGCAGGTAAAGTTCTTTATGCGTGGCCAAAGATTGGTGCACAAGAACGAGGGAAAGGCACGACTCCAATTATGCATAAAGCCTTAATGATCTGTTCTGCAAACGTATGATACAGTGGTGCGGATCGCCTGTCAATGCATTGTGGCAGGTCTTGTGACAAGAGTGAGACTGGGACTCTTCCTCCTCAAAACAGGTTTGATGAAAGAGATTCAGAAGAAATTAGTTTACCCAAGATCTGGAATACTCTGTGGGTGCCACGTGTTAGTTAGCCGAGGCACAATCTGTATCGAGATGTTTTCAAGATGGAACTGGATTGATATCAAAACGGGAGTCATTTGCTGAAGTATGGATAAAAGGACAGATAAGTGGGTTGGAATGGTTTGCTCCTTAAAAGAGCTAGTGCAGACAAGATGGGCCAAATGGCATGTGCGATAAATGTCCTGATTCTCAATAGTTTTATGAGCAAGCAATTCAGGAATGGTTTGAGAGCCAGCGTGAAGGCATCCTTTGGTTTCCTCCTCTCTCCCCCCCACCCACCCTGCCCCGCACTGTTTACGTAAAAAAAAGTTATGGATTCATATCAGCTGTATGAACTGCAAATGAGACGTAGCAGTTTTATTTTGTTCTGTCTTAAGCTCCGAGCTTGAAGTTGTCTGAACACTGCTGTTTGCTTGGTGTGTTCGTGTGTCTGGCATGTGAACCGTTTAGCACATGTGTAGTTTGTGTGTGGCCGGGAAGCTGTAGCTGGGTGATTTATTGCAGTCGTTGCACTTTTCTTGAAGCTTTGTTGTTGGCTGAACGTCCAGCCTCCCTGTGAGCCATATTTCTTAAGAATTTTATGAAGCTGTGGAGTTTCTATATTTTTTAAAGAAAAAGGAGGATCTTTCCCCAGACGTATCCATGGTGAAAGCTTTAAAGTTTGCTGGTGCATTTTGTGGCTAGTCTCTCAATGTCTACCATAGCCCTGATGAAGTTATGTGGATCCCAGCATCTTACTGCCTCACTCTGTGGCTCTTCTGTTACCTAATGGTGTGTGTTTCCATGTCTCTGAATAAAGACAGATGGGATTTTAGCTAATATACACATGCAAGTCAGTACAGATTGAACTGCGGGCATCGCAATGTAGTGACACCCCTTATCTGGCGTTTCTGTTGGATTCTAATCAGTGGCACAGGATCTTTGTGGATTCACTGAAAGAAATGGACAAAGTTCATTTAACTTTAGGGTGACCACTTTTAACGTTGATATGAGCCCATATGTGTTCTTTAACTAACATGAGGAATCTCTAATGATTCCTCCCTCTCCCTAGCCCATAATTGTTCTCGTTAAATAAAACAAAATGCTCTTGACAATGTACTTGATGTCCAAACAAACTATCCCTTTGATAGAATATTCCCATTAAATATAAGTTTGCTATGCATAGATTACAGTTGTATCTGGGGGCTGGGGGGAGAACGTCTGTGTTGAAGGAAATGCACATTGATGGGTGGGTGGGGGGGTGGATACTGATTGAAAATTAAACGTCTCTGCAAACTTAGAACTGGTTTTATAGAAGCAAATTAGCTACAATTACCTGTTTTATCATTTCAACTTCATCTTCATTCTCAAAGGCTGAAATCTGTCCAAATTTGGAGCGAGCTGTCTACAATCAAAAGCAGACACCAAAACAGAATTACAGTGTGTTCGTGTTTCTCCTCTGTCTGTCTGTCTGTCTGTCTGTCTGTCTCTCTCCCTGCTTCTGTGTTATGCTGTGCGGACGTGAATTATTCAGATTCTCAATGAATTTTTAATCAGGAATGGAAGCCTCAGAACTTAAGTCGTGTTCATGTGTCTGGACTTGGCCGAAGATTGTTGTGTGGGATTCATGGATGTGTGGCATCGTAACTGCCAACATGGTCTGCAATCCTCTCGCATGCACAATGTTCAAGTACAATGTGTTTCTGAGTGAAGTGCTCACCGGATAGTTGTACGTTGCAGAAAGCGACCGAACACAGCAACTGAATCTTGAACCCTGTTCTCTATGTTGTGTGCTGCACATCTTTATATCTCAAATAGATATACATTTCTATTGATGACTTATT